AAACAGTTGAGGGTTGGAATGATGATACATTCATGTTAATTGAATGAGGATTTTTTTTTTAATTTGCAAATTTGAATTAATGCATGTATATTATAACAAGTAAATGATCAGTTAAAACCCTCACCCCCAACCCATGAGGTAATAATAACTATGTTTAACAGTTTGGTTCTTTACAGACCTTTGTCTGTCTGTCATGAGGGTATAATTTTGAACGTGCTTCTAAATTGGAGTGTGTGCTAAAATGTGAATTTAGATTATTTTTAGGGCTTTTGAAATGATTGGATTAAATTGAATTGAAATTGGGTGGTGTGAAAATTACATTCTGTTTGACAGTGAGTTAATACCTAATCTTTGTTTAGTGGTAGGGGCGGAAAGGAGGTTAGGCCTGGATGACCCAGGGGAGGTTAAGGATGGGAGGAGGGGGTTGGAAAGAGAGAAAAATAGAAATGGAGCAGTAAATGCGGGAACCAGGTTTGAATCCTGGCTGTGACTCTCAGTGACTTCAGAGTTCTAGTAAAATTATCATCTTTCCCTAGTGTCCTCATGTGTAAAAGGGACTTAATAATATTTCATAGGGTTCTTGTAAAGGTTAAATAAAATAACACGTAGAGCATCTAGCCCAGTGCTTGGCATAGAGGTGCTTCCCTTCCTTCAATTCTTTCTCTCCAAATAGGGAATTTCCATTTGAAAGTTAACTTGTAAAAATTTTTTTATAATAGTACATAATCAGGTACCCTTGCTTTGTTAAAAGGGACTGTTTATAGAGGAAACATTATTAATTATATGGAAGTATTTCTCCTTGGGATCAAGTCAGCTGAGTATTTCTTAGTCATTATCAAGATTTGGAAATAGACTTGTTATGTATCATTGTTGAGTTTGAGCTGGGCTGGGAGTTTTACCTGCCTTTGCATTGTCTCTGCCCGAAAGGAAGGGATTCTAATTCTCCCTGTCTTTCCACTACCCGAGCCTCGTGGTGTTATGGTACATGTGCAATCTAGTACTTTGTACTTACATTAAGCAAAATTCTGTCACATTTTAAAAGATAGGTTCTTTGTGTCAGTCACTGAAGTTAATTCTGATTGGAAACCAAAGTTTGACCAACTGAGGTAGGAATTGTATGAAAACACATTTTCATCCCAGTTCCTAATTACAAGGTTTGACTCTCAATAAAAGTGAGAAAGCTACATATATTTTTTTTAAATAAATTTGTTTATTTATATATTTATTTTTGGCTGTATTGGGTCTTCGTTTCTGTACGAGGGCTTTCTCTAGTTGTGGCAAGCGGGGGCCACTCTTCATCGCGATGTGCGGGCCTCTCACTGTCGCAGCCTCTCTTATTGGGGAGCACAGGCTCCAGACGCGCAGGCTCAGTAGTTGTGGCTCACGGGCCCAGTTGCTCCGCGGCATGTGGGATCTTCCCAGACCATGGCTCGAACCCGTGTCCCCTGCATCGGCAGGCAGACTCTCAACCACTGCGCCACCGGGGAAGCCCAAAGCTACATATTTTTTAAAAACTTTGTATGTGTGATGATGATGATGGGAAGAGGATGGGGGGTGTGAGCCTAGCATTCAGCAGATCTTGGCTGCCTTCCTTCAGACTTGGGTTTTCATTCATTCTCCCCACCCTCTTCCCCTTTTTTACTTAGAGATTATACTAAATCAGTGGAGGAAAGGTAGAAAATTCAGGTGAGCAGAAGAAAATAAAAATTATGAATAAATCCCACTTCTCCGAGAAAACCATTATTAACATGGTCACGTATTTAAGTTTCAGATTATTTTTCTCTTCATATATTAATATGTTTAAAACAAAAATGGTATCATCTAAGCCATACTTTATATAAATGGCTTTATTCAGTCATCAGTGTATTATGACTTTTATACTGATAAGTATATTTCCACAACTTCTGGTTATCTTTGTTTTCTCCTAATTATAGAGATAATGTGTATTTACTGAAAAAATTCTTAAGGAATACAAAGATAACAGAAGATACAGGTTTCCACGTGAGTCAGTCTTTCACACACAGTATTTGTTAAGGTCTGCTTAGTATTCCACTGTATGCCTGGATTGTCATACTGAACTAATCTGTGGTGGTCTCCATTTAGCAATGAATTAGAAACAGTCTGTAGTAAACCACGCTGCTGTGAACATCTTCGTACATACATCATGGTATGATTGCCCAGTCATCTCATGAGAATAAATTCCTACAAGTGTATATGCTGGTTAAAGTGTGTGTACATTTTAAAGTTCTTTGGTCAGTATTTCTTAATTCCATCCAGAAAAAATTAAACCAGTTTATTCTCTGATTAGCGTTTTGGGGGAATGTCTGCTTTCTAATGCTGTTTTTTGGGTTTTTTTTTTCCCTTTAAAAAACAATTTTTACCAGTTTGACAGGTAAAAACATTACTTAATTTGGAGTTATTTTTGATTGTTAGGTAAATTTAATTTTTTTTCTGTGAGGTTTTGGCCATGCGTATTCCTTTGTGAATTACTTGTTTGCACGTTGTAAAAAAATTGAATTGTTCATCTTTTTATATAAAACTAAGTATTTTAGTTTAAGCATGACTTAGTAGATGCCTTAGTCTCTTTTGTAACAAAACGAGCTGTACATAAATACTTCACTCAAGTGGAACACCTTGCTCTTTGCAAAGGTCTTCATTGACCTGGGAGCCAGGAAATGTCGGCACAGCCTTATTATTATTCTCCAGTTGGCCTATAGACTCTTGATGCCTCTCTCCAGCTGCCTTTAACTGTGTGGGATTTTCCAGCACCATCTCTGCGTTTGTCTGTAGCTGTGTCAATATATGCGTGGGGAGTGAGTGGGACTCTGCTGTCTATGGTAATAAATCCAAACAAGACTTCTTATTCCTAAGTTAATAAAAAGTAACTAATATGGACTGTTAAAAGACCAACTGACTACTCCATTTTCCTTATTTTATCATGCTGGCAAACAGGGCAAAAATATCTCTTAAACATTTTAATGTAAAGTAGCTTAAGTTATTTTGGTGTGTAAAGTTTAAATTTTGTATTGTGATTCTGTGTCTTCCTAACATACCATGTGGGGCTGCACTTTCTCTTTGTTTTAAAGGGAGAGCAGTGCGTCAGGCATGCTCGCATGTGTACAGGCTGAGGGTGAGTGTGACAGTGAGTTTGAAAAGGAGTGAAGTGTGACATGGATAACCTCTTATTAGAATGGTGCAGATAGGTGTTTTAGTAAACAACCAGTTTTTGAATAAACTCACTGTGGGTGCTTACGGGCTAGTGAAAATATTGACACTTCGTGGTGACTAAATAGAGTAACCACAAAGCACCTTCTAGCATGGCACCTGTCACATAGTAGGTGCTCATTAAATGATGACAGTTATACGTTCGTATATCATTTCATTAATTTCGTAGTTATTTATTGAGAGCCTACTCTCTGCCAGGCACTGGTCAGGGTGTTGGAGGTACTGCAGTGAATGAAAAAAAATGAAATGTCTTCTCATGGAGCTAATACTCTGGTGTGGGGAGATAGTCACTAAATAAGTAAGTAAGTAGATGATCCCACACTTTAAAAGAGCACAAGTACCATGAAGAAAAATAAATCGGGGAGATAACTGGAGGTGCTGATGGGAAGCGAAGGATTCGCAGCTTTAGCTAGGGTGGTCAAGGAAGGCACTGTTACGTAGAGGTCAAGCAGAGCTGGGATTAAGCCCATCTTTACTACTGATTAAGTGAGTGACTTTGGGAAAGGTATTTAATCTTTGATCCTTAATTTCCACGTTACAAAAAGGGATAATAATGAACCTGATGCATAAGTTTAAATGAGATAATACAGAAAGCATGTAGCAGTATGTCAGATATCTAACTCGCAGCAGGAAGAAAGTGTTGTTCGTGGCTAGGAAGGTGGGCACTGCCCTGGCAGTCACAGGCTGGGAGACACAGGCATGCCCAGAGGAGCCGAGAGTGGGGGCTTTGTTCCTGCAGGAAAGCTGCCGCAAAAAACAGTGTTTAATGTGGGCAGGAGAGAAAAGAAGAAATGAGTGGTGGGAGTCTTTGCTGTATGTGTAGGGAAAACACAGAAGCATTCAAGATTCTCTCCTTTCTTCCAAAAGCGAAAGTAAAAGACTCATTCCTTTTGCTTTGTTTTTGACAGGACTGTCACCAATTGATTCTGCAGTTCTATTTCAGTGCCTAATCAAGTGTTTTACAGTCTAATTTTGGGGAAGTAGAATCTAGATAAATGTATGTATGTATATACAAAGAAAGTTAACAATAGCTGCTCAGTAGATTGTCTTTAAGATGAAGGACTGAATGCTGGAAGCATCTGGCAGGAGGAATTCACTGACAGAGGATGATCAGGGGAAGCTTCTTGCAAGAGTAGAGTTGATCTGACTCCTCAAAGAGGGGTCGGGTTTTTGGTCTTGTTTCGGAAGGACACCGGTATTCCCTGCTCTGGATAGAGAAGGTTTTAAGGTCAGCGGAGTTTGCAAAAGCATCATACCCTGTCACCCACGTGGAGGTTCACACCGCATGTTCACTTACTGAAGTTTCTGTCAGCCCTGCAGTAAAGGCACCTCCTGAGCTGTGAGCCCCAGCAGGACTGGGCCTCCACACTCTGACTTGCAGAGCAGCCCAGAAAGCTCAGGGCATCCGGGTGCTGTGGAGCACCGCTGCGGGCTCACTCTTCCTCTGTTACCCTGAAGGGAGTAGAGCTGTCACTTGTCTTTGTGTACGTATTTGCGAAGCATTTGGAGATCATCAAGCGCATTTCCTTATAGCACTTGAAGTTTAGGAGAAAAAAATTACACCCAAATAGAAAAATAACTAATGAGGATTATACAATTTTGGATCTCAGTTTTCATCTTTATTTTCCTTTTTTCTGTTGCTTATTTATTTTGTTTCCGTGAAATGCTTTTATAGAGTATTTGCGTATAATGAGCAAGAACTGTCTTAGAAGTTGAAAATGGAAACCTTTAAACGATATTTTATTTTAACAAAATGTGTTTTTCCCCCTCCCAAGGTCTATTACCCAAATTTGGGGTGGATGTGCATTGATGCCACCGATCCAGAGAAGGGGAACTGGCTGCGCTATGTGAATTGGGCTTGCTCGGGAGAAGAGCAAAATTTATTTCCACTGGAAATCAACAGGGCCATTTACTATAAAACCTTAAAGGTAAGAGTGTTAGAATTAGCCTGCCGGTAGTTACTCGGCATGCGTTTCTGCAAACGCTGTCCTCAGTCGTGACCGTCGGGAGTGAATTTGAAGACCTTGAAAGGGTTCTATTTGAAAGTGGTTCATCAACACAGTGAAAGGTCTGTGTTTTAAATATACAGTTGCCACTGCTTCGTGTGAGGAAGGGCACTAAAGCAGGAAGATGGTGTTGAGTAGTTACGTACGGCGTCTTTATAGGTACTGAGGAGTGAAGCATGTGGCAGCTGCTTCCCTCCTCTTAAGATATAGATGCATTGGGAACTGTCTGACTGGCCAGTTTATCTAACTGTAAGAAACTCAATAGCTCTGGCGGTTCTGTGTTAACTGAAAACACATTCTTAGTCTTCAGTATAGTGTAGCTTTAGATTAGCTTTTCTTTTCCCTAGATTTTATTCAGAATGGAAATTATACAGAACATGTTTCTTCCTTCTGCCAGATTTTTATTTGGAGACATTAATTGTTGAGGAAAATCAACAAGTAATGTAAAGAAGAGGAAAATCATGTTTTAGAGTTTGTGGTGAGGTCAGAGGTCACTGAGTACATTCAGGGAAGTTAGAATTAGGAAGCGTTGTTATACCTGCAACAAGCAAGCCCACATCTGTCTCCCTCGTTTTCATGTTCTCCTGGAAGGCAAATCTGCACTCATCCTGCAGGGAAATGTTCTCTCAGGCAGAGTCTTGAGGCTCTAAAGATAGATGATTGTTGCTTTTTGCTTTTTGGAATAGGTATGTTTGCCAAAGTTGCTGTAAGGCAGATTTTTCCTTATTCACTTACTTCCATTAAAAATGTCATAGACTGGGGGACAGTCCATGAAAAAAATTATCTCCATGTAGGTGAAAACTCTTGATGAACAAACATTTAAGATGATGGTCAGCTTTGTAGCATGCTGAGTTTTGCCTGTGTGTAGCACTAGGACTTTTGGAAGTTAGCTTACAGCTGTTTAACTTTCCTTTGTATTTTTCCCTGTCATCTTTAGGCAGTTGGATTGCCCTTTACCTCATATAAACCCACGTCCTTGCTTTCAATTCCTGTAGGAAATATTTTTTTTTGTGGTACTTCTTCATTTAAAACTTCTATAACCTTCTTCCTGCTGGATTGTAATAGCATGATTTTCTGGTAGGCATTACTGTACAATTTTGTTACACTGGAGTTTGAAATTGGATTCAAAATTTGATTCAATAATTCATTCTGTTCTCAAATTAATTTAAAGTGAGAGTTACATCTGGTTGAATCAGTGAGGCAGAATTCTGGTGGAGATGAAGTACCAGCGAGGGGGATACATATGAGACAGCTGAGGGAGTAGGAATGAGGTTCCAGGGCAGAGGAAGCCCAGGGAGATACTGGGGCACTTGGCAGTTCTTTCATCAGACCTCAAGTTATGATGTGTTCATCTCTGATAGCAAAGCCGAGAACCATTGAGAAGCAAGAGAGAATAGTGTTTGGGAGTGAACTCTGGAACCAGACCCCTGGATTAATCCTGGCTTGCTGTGTGACCCAAGGCAAGTCATTGTGATTTTACTAGCTGTGTAAATTTAGGCAAGTCACTTTCCTGTGCCTCAGTTTCCTTATTTGTAAGATACAGATAATTATAGTGTCGACCTCATATGGTTATCATGGGTGATTGTGGGTAGATTTCTAGCACCTACTAAGTGCTACATAAATGATAGCTGTTATTTTTGGCAAGGCAGTGTAGTGTCATGGTTAGGATTGGGGACTCCGGAGCAGACTGCCTTGTGAGCAAATTTTGGCTTCGAGATGTGTGACCATGAGAAGTTACTTACACCCTCTGTCTTAGTTTTCTCATCTGTAAAAATGGAAGTAATAGTAAAAATTAATAATACAGTTGTGAAAATTAAACAAACCAATATGTGTAAGATTCTGTGAAGAGTTCCTAGTCTAACCTAAGTACTCAAAGTGTTAACTAGCTGTACTACTACTGTTATTTTTACCTTTCTTTGTTGGAAGTAACATAGCTCTGATCTTTGCAGACCTCCCCCAATCCTGACCTTTGATGTTTGCTCAAGTATGCATAAGGCCTTTCAGATTCCTTACTTGTGATTATATTCTTCTAGATTAAGCTTTCTGTGGGTTAGGTTTTGTAAATAAATTACATGTGATGTTCTGTATCACCTTCTCACCTGTAATCTAGGTAATCACCTGGTTTTGTTTGTAATATGATTAAAAACTGTTTTAAATTCCTGAAGGTTAATTGTTAGCTTGCTCTCCATTCATTCATCTATTTATTAGTTCAGCAAATACTGAGTGTCTACTATGTACCAGGTATTCTCCTATAGTAGTGAACAGAACAGACAAGGTCTCTGGTCTCATGGAGCTTCCATTTTATGGGGGAGGTGGCAGATAATAAACAAGTGAACAAGTAAACAAAATAATTTCAGATAGTGATAAGTGCACTGAAGACAATAAAATGTGATAGATTGTGTAGGTAGGGGGAGGGCTGCTGTAGCTCTGGTAGGTCAGGGAAGACAAGACATGGGGACACCTCTTCCCTTCCCCCACTGGCATGGGAAGGAGCCAGCCACTCGAAGATCTCTGCTGGAAGAGCAGTTCAGGAAGCAAAGGTATTGAAGTGGGAATAAGCTAGATTTTGGGGTTTTTTTTGTTTTTTTTTTGTTTTTTTTTTCTTAAAGGAATAGAACAAAGGCTGGTTTGGGTAGAGCAAGGAGAGGCGGTGAATGGAGCTGGTAAGGTGGGCAGGGGCCAGATCGGGGGGCCTACTGGCCTGTAGGGAAACATATGAGTTTTAGTCTTCAGTTCACCCATTTGAGAATTGAAGCTGTCTGACCCGTGACTTTTAAAAGATCATGCTGGGGGATAGATGGTAGGTGGGTAAGCGTGGAGTGCTTTGTGTGTTCTCATAATTCTGGAGTATTCCTCTTAATTTGACCTAGTGTCAGGAATATTTGTGGCAACCCTTGCCTGTACCTAATTGGTCTGGTAAAATTTCAGGTTTATATTTACTGATATTTAGAGAAGAGAGTGTGCTTCGTTCTATAAGCCTGTCAGAACCCAAAGGAAGAGTTTAAAGTCTTCCTGTTGTTGTTTTTTGTTAAATATCAAAATATATTTAAAAAAAGGTTGTTTGGACTTTTGACTTTATTTTTTTAAATGTGGGTTTGTATTTCCTGTGTTTAAGGACATAAATTTTCTTTTCTTCTGAAATTTGACTTACAAAATCTTAAATGCGCTTAGCAGTGCAGAAGAAAAAACTACAGTACAGAAGAAGCAAGCAATCGTTCATTTTAAAAGATGTATTATTTTCCTCTTCTTCATAAAGCCCTGTTATTTGTGTAGCTGTTTTAATAGAAAGTTGGGAAGTACATAGCTCAATAATGTCATGATCATCTCAGTTGCTAACAATTTTGAAGGTTGTTCAGTAGCTGACAAATCAGGTTGCTCTTAATCTAGCTATTCAGTTCATTAACAACCATTTAGAAATTGTATATTAGATTTGAGGTAAAAACAGATACTGGGGTGTTTTGTGGTTTTTGCAAGAACAAAATCGGACCCTCCTAAGTAGAGAGTCTGTGCTGATATTTAACTTCACCCAGTTGCTAGTACAGTTAGTCCTCTGCACAAGGTTGGAGTGGCATGAATGTAGATGCTTAGGCTGAGTCGGGGATCAATCTCGAAGATGTCCAGTAGGTTCTTCTAGCCAGTGTTTTGGTTATGCTGTTTGGTTTAGGAAGAAATGGGGAATATATTTTCCCTCACTCCTTTTCATGTTCTTTTTTACTTTTGTTTTATTTAAGACTTTACATATCTCTGCGGACCCTAATCATTTCAAGTATTATATGATAACACCATTTCATAAATATGTGACTTGTAACAAAAACATAGAGAAGAAGCATACTATATATACATTTGGAGCTAGAAATAGTTTACTTAAATAAAGAAGCTCATTCCTTCAACAAGAACAGGTTAGCTCATAAGAGTGCCAAAAGGCATCTCTAATGGCTATTTTAACTCATTAAGATTTTATACATTAGATTAAGTTTTTTTGTTTTAGGTGTAACTGATTCAAGAAGGGAAATAATACATTGGTTTAAAGATTTAAAAAATGGCAGGTTTTAGCCATCCTTGGAGGAACAAAGGAAACAGTGGCTTGTTCTTTTATCTTAAAGAATTTAGAATATTTTAAAATTTGGACTATATAAACATTGAGTTCTGCAGAGAATGAAACAAAATAATATTTACTTTCAAAGACTTTATCTAGACTAGAAGGTATGTTGAAGTGACTACGTTGTTTCTAAATGGACATCTTAGATGGAATTCCTCCTGCCCCTAAAACGAGGGTATCCTCTTCCATAACTATAGTGCAGTGATCAAAATCAAGAAGCTCACACTGGCACAGTGTTTTATAAGCTAATCTATACTTTATTCAAATTTTGTCAGTTCCAATCACGTCCTTTTAGGCAAAGAAAACTCCATTGAATTCAGTTGTGATGTCCCATCAGTCTCCTTAGTTTGTATAGCACCTCAGTCTTTGTCTTTTATAACATTTCAGTTTTGAGAGAATTGATCAGTAATTTTTGTAGAATGTCCCACAGTTTGGCCTTCTCTTAAGTTTTATCTTGATTGAATTACATTTATGCATTTTCAGCAGAAGTGATGCTTCACTTCATCTCCAGAAGTGATGCTGTGTTCTTTTCTGTGCATCATATCAGGAGGCATATGATGTTGACTTGTCTTATAAAGGTACTGTTTTTCTCTTTGTCATTAATAAATGTTTTATGGGGAGATATTTCGAGACCATGCAAATATTTTGTTATTCCTCAAACTTTAATCTACTAGTTTTAGCATCCATTGGTGATTCTTGCCTGAATCAATTATTAATCTGTGATGATTGTCTAGTTGTGATTTTCTAATTCCATTATTTCTTTTTCATTGATTAGTTGGGATCTACTATAGGAAGAGCTCTCCTTATTTATTTACCTGTCCGTTCATTCATTCATTTCTTCATTCATTCATATCAATATGGACTCATGGATTTTTATTTTATTCACTGGGTTTTAGGTGGAATTTTACTTGTGTTCATACTCTTGGAACTTTTTGAACAGATGAGTCATTGTGAGAGAAACCAATAAGCCATTTCCTTCAGTGTTACTTAGGAGTGTAATCTTTCCACTCAGTATATTTTTTCTTCACGATCTTGTTCTCTAGGTATAATCAGCATGGTGGTGGTGTACATGACTGTTAAGAATTCATGTTTTAGGAGCATGACACGTGAGGTATTTTTAGGCATTTCTTTCTAAATTTAAAAGTTGTCTTGTAGACTCGAGGTGTAGTACAGAGGGCAAGGCAGTGAATTCTCCAAGGACCGGAGCAGGTTGGCAGCAGCGCAGAGACAATACACTGCCAGGACGCTCGGGTCCTCAGCACCGCCTCTTCTTTTAGCATTTCCGTGATATAATTAGCGGTGCATTATAAATGTGCACTGGCATGTAGGTCTTATCATGCTTAACTTGCTCTTGGACTCTGAAACCTGCGCTGATAATTAGCTTTCATCACGTCTTCCAAACTGCCAGGGTGTTTTAAATTATGCTTTAATTTTCTCATCAGCTTAGGTTTCGTGGACATTGTGGTTCCGTGGCATATTTTTCCTTCTGCGTGGTTAGTTGTGAGGCTTCCAACAGTAAGATTCCGGAACATATGGCAGTTTTAAGTTTAAAGCGATCCTATCAGATCCCGACATCCACCGGATGGACTCCGGGGAGGAGGCGGCCGGGAAGTGAGGTCCTCCCTCCAGCAGAGGGTCCCTTCCCGCGTCGTCCGGCCCGCGGCCGCCGAGGCGGAGGAGCTCTTCTTGACGGGCTGGCCTCGGGCGGCCCGGCTGGGAGCACCGCCCGCCTGCCCCGCCCCGCCCCGCCAACAACCTTCGCTCTGATTGGCCCGGCGCCTGTCTCTTCTCTCCCCGCAGCCAATCGCGCCGGGCGAGGAGCTCCTGGTCTGGTACAATGGGGAAGACAACCCCGAGATAGCAGCTGCGATTGAGGAAGAGCGAGCCAGCGCCCGGAGCAAGCGGAGCTCCCCGAAAAGCAGGAAAGGTAGGAGCCCGCTGCCGCCCCTGCTCCCCGCGGCTGCCCGGCCCGGGCCGAATCGGGGCTCGGGCAGCACCCGCAGCTCACAGTGACCTTTTCCGGACCCGGTGCCAAGCCTCCCCCGCGCCCCCCCGCCCCGGGTGCAGTTCCCCCCCTCCCCCCCGGCGCTGCTGAATCACGGCGCCGGACGCCGCGCTCGAGCTCTTTTCTAACTTGGGGTGGAGGAGCCGGGCGCGGAAAAGTGAGTGGACGCGCACCGCGAGGGGCCCGAGGCCAGTTGTCACTTCCCTTGTCCACAGCGCAGGTCTCTGGATTTGCGGGTGGGAGCGGCGGTCGGTCTCTCCAGAGCCGTACACTGCACGCCCGGTATATTCTTAGTTTTTTGTGCTGTTCGCCAGCAACGCGTCATAAAATGTGTTCCGAGAGTGACATTTCCAGCTCCGCAGATTCGGCGGCCTCGTGTCCATCCGCCCGGACTGTGCGGGAGGGCCGGACGCGCTGCGGCCGATGCACTGGCCTCCCGGGGCAGGGAGAGCCGGCCGGGCCGTACACTGCCGCTACGCCCGGGCCGGGCCCTGCCATCCGGCCGCCCCACTCCTCCCCGGGCCGGGCCCTGGGCCACTCCACGCCACTCAAGACTGCGCTGCACACGATTGCAACACTCGCGGCTGGCGAAGGTTTCAGCGCAGACCTTTTTGAAATTAGGCCATTAACAAAATGGAAGTTGAACGGTGTGCTGTTACTTTTGACTCAACTCCAACAGTTTTATTTTGTTTAATAATGTTTTCAAACAAAAGGTGAAGTGTAGTCACACTTACAGAAGGCAGGGGATAATTTCTGGGAGGAAGATAGTTTGGTTGGATATATCATATTTCCAGCTGGCATTCTCCACGTTGTTTGTTTGTTTTGTTTTTTTTCTTTTAATGAAGAATTTCAATATTAATCAGTGAATCTTTCGTAGAGCCCTGTTTGAATATATGCCAAGGCGAGGGGTATGGTAGTTTCTTACTAATATAAATCTCCTTTTTTTTTTTTTTTTTTGCCCGCCCTAAGTCTTAAATAAATGTTTGTAGCCATCTGAACTTGAGTCCAGCCTTTACTTAGAACACTGCAAAGTGAATTGTGGCAGTCATACTGTAAATAAAATCATAATGTAAACTTGACTTTGGAAAAATGTAAAAGTAACATTTAAAAATGTAGGCGAGAAGTTAAAAAAGTCTATTCTGATTTTTCCATTACATATTCTTTGTATTTTACGGTATAATCAATAACCCATCCAAGGGAGTTTGTTAGGCCTTTTACTGAATACATGTTCGCTGTTTATCTAACTCGATTTCGTCAGTTTTAGGTCATTAAATGCTTTGATCATGAATCAGATGATCAGGGTCTAGAAAATTGCCAGGTGTTTTTTGTTTGTTTGCTTTTGTTGTTGTTTACTGTTTTGAGGTTTGAGATTTTTGTTGCTGTTAGGCTTAGCGCATAATTGTTTGCAAACTCTTCACATAATTCAAATTGTTCCTTTATTTAGTGTTCACTTTGTGTATAACTAATGTCACCAGCCTTTCTAGGTAAGCTGTGATTTGCAGGGGCCGGAGTTTGGAGGGCAGCGAATCTTTACTCTGTTACTAAGCATAACTAACTCATGTAAATTTAAATATAGTCATAGGTTAATAGGTTAATAGCAACTTCATCCTAATGCTTTTCTCTGTTCAGCGTACTTTGCTGTGCATGTTTAGAACATTTCATAGATTTTTATTTATTCCTTAATTTTGTTTTTTTATTTGAATGTGGGGGAAAAAACTGAAAATAAGTTTTATTAGTGGTACATGAACTTACACATCTTCATTTTTATACCTGCCCATATTGCTGGGTTTTTGCATTGAGTTAAGTAGTTCATATTTCTTATTATCCTGTTACTTATAACTACTCCGAGCTGTGTATAACCGACTGAATCTTAAGTTTTAGTTAAAATACTTATGTGAGGCTCCCTCTCGGAACTTAACAGTCTGTTTTGAATAGCTTACTGGTAAGGAGCTGTGTTTGCTCTTTATGATCTAAAGTTTAAATAGTCAAACCTTTTTTGTTTTTAAATTAAGTACTCTGTGAAAGCTAATTTATAGCTTACAAAGACCTGAAATGGAGAACTTTTTATGTTAACTTGGTTCTATTTAGGTCTTATGTGTGACCTCAGACATTTAAATACCTTTTCAGGCAGTGATGTCAGAGAATAAATCAACATAAATTTCATTCAGTAGCAATATTAACTTAGTATTTCTGAAAGCCAGATGTTGAAGACATGCAGCTGACAGGTAGATTGACAGTGGACCTAACTTCATTTTGGTTAGGAGGCAGGCAGAGAGAAACAAAGGGCTGAATTCTTCATAGTTCTGGGCCTCTGATCCTTTGCATGACAGCTGCTGTGCCTACAGCTGTGCATTGCATGTGGTGCCTTTCAGAATTCATCAGATCGCTGGTGGATCATGCGGCGTGTTCTGGGCAGTGGAAAGCCCTGATTCCTTTGCATACAATGTGGCCCCTCCTCTTCTCTCTCCCTCTCTGTCTCTGTCTCTCTGCCTCTGTCTGTCTCTCAGTCATTCATTGAACTAATGTTTGTTAAGCCCCTGCCATGTGCCAGGCGCTCTGCTAGGTCGTACAGGACAATGGTGAGCAAAAAAGCAGCAGTAACTTTTCTCCTGGCGCCTGTAGTCTAGTGGGGGAGACAAACATTAAATCAGTAAGTTACTGATCGGGGCCTAGATGGTTGGCATGGAACAGGCCCTCAATAAATAATTTGTTGATTGGCAAACAAAGACTCATGCAAACCTGCAGTGAAGGAAGAGAACACAGTGCTGTGAGAACACAGTTCATATTGTCTCTGACCAGGGAGCATGCGGTTTTGCCAGTGGCCAAAGGTGTTCATATGTTAGGCATTTTGAACTAGAATTCTGGATTCTCACCTTTGTAATTCAGCCTAACTTCTTACATGTCTGAGCAGCCCCTGTAATGAGATTGAGCGTGAGAAGTTCCTTGGATGGGACAGATTAAACTTTCCAGGTGGAGAGGAAGGGAGGGTTTTCAGTGTTGGGTTTTCAATATTTCACTGAAATATTCGTATTTAATCCACGGGAAGATTGTGATCTGAACATAGAAAGGCCAAATTTAGAAGTATTTATCGTCTTGATTTCTGTTGAATTTGTTTGTTAGCAGTAAATGACTGTTGGCAAATGTTCTTTTAAAATATAGACTGTAATAGAATGTTGTTGCCCTGCTCTCTTTTGGCTACATAAGAACCTTACCCAGAGTTCTTTTTACTCTAAAGCAGCAGCAGTGTCTTGATGCACATGGGCTTAGTGGAAGGAATGAAAAACGTGGGACTCTCGGGCTTTTACCAGGTGTATGGCTGGGCAAATCATGTCACTTTTAATGGGGGTGCAGTTTCCATATCTTTAAAAGTAGGTGTCATAACATGGAATGGTCCTTGTGCTGTATACCCAACCTCACTGGGTTGCTGTCAAGAGCAGGAGAGATAATAATAAGGAACATCTCTGTGCAGCATGTGGGTCCGTGGTACCTGTAAGTGCCACTGACAGAATGTGGCTGATGGTTGGCTACCTATGTGATTCTTGCAGAGGAGCTACTGAGCTTGTGAGTCAGTTAATCAGTCAGTATTTATGGAGCACTTGTATTAGCGCTAAGGAAGCAGTGGGTCCTCCCTCTCCCTTCCCGTGGCGGGGCCTCACTGTAGGCTGCTTCTCTCTTACTTTAGACCTACTTCTAACCTGTTGACTTTCCTGTCTATAGCAAATTAGAAGGAGGAAATTAGAAGAGTTATTTGTAGCAGCAAGTAGTTTTATAGCTAATAGCCAGACAGTTAAGAAGACAAAGTTTGTAACAAAAACAGTAACGAGCTATAAAGAGCACAGTGCCGTGAGATCCCTTAACAGGTTCACATAATCTTTTCTAAAAGCTGTAAATAGTCCCTGAGATCAACCCGTTTTTAGTATTTATCTAAGGTGACTTTTAGTCACCACAGAACAGTTAAATTATAACCAGTTTAAAAAGGAAATAGTTCATGTTTCCATAATTAAAATTGTTCACATAAAAAACCTGGAGATATCCACCACCCATCCCCTCACCTTGTTATTTAACAAGTATATTCTGTGTCAGACACTATGTTAGGTGCTGGAAGCTACAGCAGAGAACTAACATAACCCAGGTCCCTGCTTTCATGGAATTTACATTCTGGAGAATGAGGGGACAACCAACCAACAGATGAACAAGACAAATCTTATAATGTTAATAAAGTGTGTGTGTGTGTTGCAGGTGGTTACGTATGGTGTGACTGTGGACGGGTAGCCAGGGATAGCCTTTCAGAGGCTGTGACTTGACTGACACAGGGGTGGGCCCTGTCACGTTCTCGGGGCTGAGAGCTCCAGGAAGAAGGACCGGATTGGGTGTTCTTCTAGCAGTGTTGGTTATTTATTGCTGGGGTGGTGTATGGGGAGAGCCACCTGGAACCCCACATGAGTCTTTCTGTTTGAAACTCAGTTGTGCAAATGGACATACTGGCCCCTTTCCCACCAGCACTGCACTCAGTGGCAGGATTGGTAGGGGAGATTAGAGAGACGAGTAAAACATCCCGGGAGGAGTTTATCGTCTGTTTTATTGCAGCTCAGTGTGGGTCAGGTTTACTAGGTGTTCTAGTTGATGTGTGTACAGGCTCTAGAATAGGGAAGGGGTTGGCAGGAGCCCTCTGGGAGAGGAGGTGATGCTACTTTGTTGTCGAAAAGCAGAGCACAGTGGGGACGCCTGTGAAGAATATTGAGGAGGGGAAGAAAGAAAGATTTGGGGAAAGAAACTCACGGGGACATGAGAGGTCACAGGACATTGCTGGACAACAAGTAGAAACAGAGATGCGGCAAGAGGCCCTGATGGAGACGTGGAGCCTTGTGGGCTGTGTGGCGCTGCAGCCAGACGGAGCAGTGAGCCCTGAGTAGTGCTGAGTG